GCTGAACGTCTGCCTCCGGTATCCTTTTCTCCATCCCTTTTTTCCTCTTCCTCCTTCAGATGATACAGCTCATTCTGTGCACTGATATGAGCTTCTGTGCTGTGACTCTCATATGTCTCCTTCCCTTTCTTTCTTTCTTCCTTTCTTCCTTCCTTTCTTCTGGTTTTCAGGTAAACCTCACTTCTCCTGCCTTCCGTCTCCCCTGCTGTTCTCTCTCCTCTTGGCTCCACTGCCGTTCATCGCTGCTCTTTCTCCTCCTCCGTCTGCTCCCGTCAGTGCACCTCACAGTCACACATGCGCAGTGTTTTCACACATATACACTCTCTCTCTGTGCTTCTGGCTCCCTCCTTATGCATGTGGCTTATTTTGCCTGCCTGCCCCCTTCTCTCTCTCTCTCTCTCTCTCTCAGACACACACACACACACACACACACACACACACACACACACACACACACACACACACACACACACACACACACACACACACACACACACACACACACAGGCCTCTCTTTTCCTCTTGTTCACTCTCTCGCTGCAGCACACACTGCAGTGCCTCTGCAGCCAGCATCACGTTTTCTGGTTGTCAGAGAGAAAAAAAATCAGCCAATGAGGAGCAGAACCACACTCCCACCCCCACTCTTATACCCCCATCTAAGCACACAAACGCATATTTACACACAGGCGCACACGCGGCCTTTTCAGATATGAAAGCACCAGAAGCTATGAATCATACTTTACATGCACAGACTGAAATGAATGGTTCAGTGCACCAGCTGGGCACAGGAAGCTGGTATAAACAGATCTGTAATCTACAGAGTACAGCTGATACACGAGATGAGAAAACAAAAGACAAACTGACCCACTGATGTACTGCATACCTGACTGGAAACTCTGGAAAAACAAATCAGTCACTGCACGTCAGTTTACAGGCTCTATAAACACAAACTGGAGCAGGGTGATGTTATTTGTATTAATTCTTCTTTAAGACTTTTAATTAGATTTTTTCAAAGCTAAATCTGAGACTGCAGACTTTTCTGTAAATTAACTCAAAAACTTAAATGCACTATCCTAAGCCCTGGACCCACATAAGCAGGGATGTTGCATAATAAGTTTCTATCTGCTCAAGCTTTCATGCTGACCAATAGATAATCCTCAGATCAAAGTAGGAAAAGACAGCATGTGAATTTTCTATTAAAGCAATAGGGGTTTGCTTACATAATGTGGGAATCAAATGCATAATATATTTGACAACTCTGCATACCAATTAGCTCCCTCTTAGCATATTTTTTAGCATTTGCCTCAGGTAACGATTCATGTTTGAAATCATGCAGAATGTCCAACATTCATGGTGCCTGCTATAGATACAGGACTACACCATTCACAAAGACAGTCACATTTAATAGCTGGATTTTAAAAGTCTAAAAACTGCAGTACAACTGCAGAATAAAATAACTCTTCAACTGCTGACTACAGTAAATCAATGCTGCTGCATAAATCTGACCCAAATGTGAATCGAAACAGTTCAGTGACTAACTCGAAGATATTTTCAGCAGAATTTTTCATGTAGCATTGTCTCCCTGAAGGCAGCATGCTGTAGGGAAAAAAAAGGAGGCCCACTCCCCGTACCTTACCTTACCTTAGAGGCCATGAATCACCTGGCTTTATACGGAGCTGGAGGGAGTGCATGTGAAATCTGTGGCTTTCTGCTGAGGGCTAGACAGGATGTCTGGAGAGCGCTCAAGGCTAAAGTTAAACTATCTGCTCATTAATATCTGAAGCTGAAGGTAAGCTGGCTGCTTGATGAAATGTCTGATTTCCCATTACACACGTGTCAAAAAATATTGCGCAATACACGCTGTTACCAGCACCAATGAGAGGTAATTTATTTTAATAGCTACTAAGTAATTATATCTTATCAATTAACTAGCACCTCGGTTATTTTTATTTACTGGTGCATGCCCATGCTACAGTAATCTTTGGTTTGTTTATGAGCTGAAATGATGATTGTTATAAGGCATAGGTGCACAAATACAAAAAAGTAGGTCATTTGAGACCATGGCTAGGTGGTTGCTATGCAACATGATGAGGTTAAGTAACACAGGGCCTGTAATTCGGCTTTTCTGGTTATAGATGAAGTGTTGCTGTCTTGAAATTAAAGTGACAGGATGCTTTCATAAGGTGTCGGAGGTGCAAAAAGGAGAAAACAGGTAATTTTTGCTGTTGCCAGGTGGCTGCCAAGTACCTGCTGGTGTTATGTATAATCAGAGGTGGCCCATAAAAAACAAAGCGTTTTTTTAAGAGTATCATACTAATATCAGGTTTAAAACAATATTAATTGGAAGGAATATAAACTTTATTTCATCCCAGAGAAAGCAGAGAAAAGCAAAGGGCGTAAAAGAAATCTAGCTGTATTTGCTGTTACCTGCATTGTAAAAGAGTGACTTAGCCTTAGCACCCACAGAGAAAAATGAGTAAAATCAATTACTAAAGTTAAAGTGGGATTTGGCAAGTAGGGGGCAACATGGGGAACAGAATTATTTAGAAATAAGTCACAATAATTTGCATTGTGGGTGCAAGTACAGTTTCTGTACTGAGTGGTGCCTATATAAAGCTTGTATGAAGTTGATATTCAGTGGATGAATTTAATCAGTATCATCACCTTAATAAAATTATGTCTGCTAAACTTAACGTAGCCTCACACAGACCATGAACACCACAGCTCATCTACATCTGTCCAATATAGCAGCTATAAACAGCACTGCACACCATCCAGTGTAGCCAGGAATAAACTGCCTGGTATTTTTAAGTAACCCTTTAATAACACAAAGTCAGTATAACTTTTATATGTTTCACACTATGAAAAAAACATAACTTTAGGAACATATAATGCATAGGTCCATCATCTGTCCATCATGTGTATTTGTATTGATGTTAAAATTCTCCTCCCTCTTTAATTTCATTGTGTCAGATGAAACTAATTTGTTTGTGACAGGAAAGAAGTAATAACTCCTTTTGAAGAAAGGAGAAAGAAAAACCTTTGAAGCATTTTTAAACTGACTTGATTGTTGGTTCTGTACATGCAGGTTTTGACCATTGAAATTCACAGTTAAATTTAATAATACTTGTTTTTCAAATGCATAAGAAGAGGTGGGCGTGAAATGATGTCGTTCCTGGTACAACAGCTCTGATTTGTTTGGGAACACAGAACTGAAATAATTTTATATAAGCATGAAAGATGAAAATTGTTTCTCCTGATGATTTTGTAGTTTTGTTTAGAAAGTAGGATATCATCCAGCACACACATCAAACTCATTAGAAAGCACTTCCACTGGTGTCAGTTTACAGTCAAATGAGTGCTGGGTGCGAATACAGCCAGTGCCACACCAATTACACAATTAAACTGGACGTGTAATATCACATGTCATGTTAAACCCCAACCCCAATATTCTGCCACTAGATGGCGCCTGTGTCTAAGCCACCTTTGTCTTCTCCTGCGTTCTTCCTCCTGTGTCAAACGCTGATTGGGATCTTTACAGAACAACAAATATGTGCCGTTTTCACTCAGTATCATTTGAGTGTTGGTCACAGATATAGCTTCCTGTTATAAATCTGTAAAGATTCCATAACCAGACGTAATCATTTAGTAGCTTTGTGAAGCTTATTGGGAGACATTTTGTCGTCCTCAGTATCAGTTAGGAACTGATTTATAGAGAGTCATAACCAGTGCCTTTTATTGCATAAAGGTGGCACGGTGAGGGACCTTTAGGCTCACGTCTCATCAAACTCACTGCATTCTTAATCACACAACTTGTGTAAGTCTTGTGCTGCACATTCAGTCCTCAAGGGCTCACAGTGCTATTAAGCATTTGTTATCACAAGCCCTTTCCCCTTATTTTAAATGGGCATTAGGCTGAACACACTGAAGATAATTTATTTCATTTTCATTTCTTCTTTTCCTTAAACAGAGGCACAGTGTCATACAATGCTGCATATCACAATACACTCAATCTTTTGTTTGCAGCTTCGAAATAATGTCAAACACTTCCAGTTCCTCGTCACAGACAGGCTGATCTACAGACAGTGTTTGCACACTAGCAATAAAATGAAAAAAAAAAGAAGGGAAAAAACCTCTTCTGCCCAGGGGGAGTGAGATAAGCATATATTTTGTCTCAGGTTGTTGGTTTGTTTTAGGTTTTTTTTAGGCTTAGTTACCGTTTGGATCTGCCAGAGATTAGTTGCAGGGAGCTATAAAGTAATATACACCTGGTGAAGAGTAAGCTGGAGGTAAAAGATATAAAAGTTAAGGGAACAGAGCCTGAAGGTCCAAGCAATCATAAATGATTCAACTGTTCATATGCTGGTGATCTGCAATCAGTGCACATTAACCACAGAGTTACTGATAAGATAGAGTTAATGGGAATGACTCACAGGCCTCCTAGTAAATTCAAAAATAGTACTACATGTTTGTTTGAAATTTAACATTTGTTTACCGAGCAATACGAATGAAATTCATCCTCAGTTAGAGAAGAAAAATTTAGCCAAATGACAATCAATCAGAAAACAAATATTTTACATTTAGTTTAACAGAAACAAGAATAAACCATTAGAGGGCAGTAGAGTTAGTCAGCCATGACTATTGAGTGATTCTCAGCACTTCATCCCTGAGATGCTTTTATTCATTAACACCTAAAACAACACAGAGTAAGGTGTGTGGATTTAAGAAGTGACAGCACTAATGGACTTTGAGCACACATAATCAGGAAACAGAGCTTAAGTGGAATGAGGTAGCACACACTGTAATTCGAGGAATTTTAAAGTGTCTCCCATGCTGTGCTTTGTTGGTTTTATATAACAGATCACTTGCTGGTGTATTGCATATTATTTTGTCTCCCTTCTTCACTGACAAAAGACAGAATCCTGAATTTTAAAACAGACATGCTCTATTCCCCTTCTCCCCACTCATGTGTAAACTCGAAAGTACAAAAGACACTCATGACGTTTTTACAATTCCTTTAGTTGGAGATTGGCTTTGAACAGATTAATCATTAATTAAATAGATTACAAGCGTGTGCTGCAGCTCATTTTATCGTGTTGTGGTTAATATGTGTTGCAAATAAAACCACACATTTACATAACGCTTACTGCGTGAGAGTGGTCTCTACAGGTGGATGCACACCTGCAGCTCCTGTCGTGAGCTGTTTGAATGTTTCTGTTAAGACGACAAAGAAAACTCATAGGGACAATGGGTAGCATGCAAATATGAATATACACAACTTTAACATGTTTTACAGTAAGTGCAATATGTGTTCATATATTACAGTGCGATCTACCAGGACAAGTTCATGAAAAGCACAGTGCTTTACAAAAATATATTTTACATCAAAGGCTAAACATTGTAATATAGTTGCAAGTGCATGGTTGTGTTTTAGAGTGTTGAGGGCTACTGAGTGGTGTGTTAAATTTGTATAAATTAGAGAGTCAGAGAGCACTTGAAATCAGCTGACTCTTAGCCAAAATAGCCATGACAGAACACGCACACACACAGAAGGATGATGGCGTTGGCATTGACCACGTTCCTCCACAGAGGCACCTCTGAGGTGTCTGTCAGCTTCCTTTGCAGCTCTTCCTCTTCTTCTTTAGTCAGCTTGGGGGCTTTCTTGGTTTCCAGGCCACAGAAGCACATCACCGCCTTCTTACAGAAGCCAGGCTCATCATCTGCAAAAGAAGAAACAAGAAAAATGAAAGTTTGCATGTATCTGTGCATGAATGCATATTTACTCTGTATGTATGCTGGGTACGTGAGCTCCTTACCGTCTGAGTCCTCACTGCTGGAATCTTGGTTATCAGCCCAATCATCCATCTCAAGGTCAACCCTCTCCTCCGTGCGGTTTCTCAGGCTCCAGCACAGTCGGTACAGCTAGTCAAATGACAAAGCATGTGGTGAGAAATAGATTATTTGTCATTTTATTTTGGGGTGCTTCTTAATAGCTTACTAAATGTTGGTTCATGCAAAGACTTGACTAGATGGCTATGTGGTTGTAGAGACTGGTGATGACTCACTTTGTTATTACGAAATTACTATTCAGACTGCAGTAAGTTTTTGCGCTGTAGAAACATCAAAGATGCTGCATAGATCACATGTTTAGTTTGTTTGCATTGAAGTAATAATATAGTCACTAAATATTAATATAATAAGATACAAAATGGGAATTTGCACATATCTTTTTACCATCAGCCAAACATACAATTTTTGCGTAATGCCTAAGTGATGTCAACAACAATACTTTTGTCCTCTGCAGTTAGGCGTGGCAGCTTGAGGAGATGTGAAGGCCACCAGTAAAGACTTAAGCAGTTTTTCATGTGTAGATGCTGCCGTTTAAATAGCTAGCTGCCTGTGGTTATTAGCTGCACTCCTCTTTTTACTCCTCAGTTGTTGTTATGTTGCTGTTGTATGGCATTAACCTTTGTCTGCTCTTTCTTGTAGTTTGTATTTTATCCTGGTTGTACATTCTTCTTTTATGCCTTTCTGTCCTCTTATCCCTGAGCTGCTGACTGCCACTCCCTGATCTTGGTTCTGCTGGGAGTTCTTCCTCCACATCATTGCCAAGTCCTCACTCATCTGATCATTGGGGTTCTCAATTTAATATTGTGTCTTCTTCTTTCAGCTGCTCCCTTTAAGGGGTTAATGCAAAGTTCTGTAATCGTTTTGAGTGAGTAAACGCACTGACACGAAAGATTTACAGAACACAAATGTTCTGTAAAACATTTCTTGTGACATGTGAGTGCCTAGAATTAGACAATTAGCCTTCTTGCTCTTATACAAGCTTCTTGGTGTTTGTTACAGCACATTAAGAATAGTTACTGTTTTTACTGGTGTTTTTAGTAGCGATGAGGTGTGTATGTGTAAGAATATGAGGGTTTAATTTTTATTCTCACAGATTTATTCTCACTATAATAATAGTGAACTCGAAGCAAACCAAAATGTGTCACTGCAAACCAAGTGACTGCTTATTGGCTGATCTATGGCTGCCTAAAGTGCTGTGGGCAGGTGAGCTTTGGCGACAATCATCAAAAACTTGACAGTTATGTTGGAGTAAATGCTCTCCCCTAATTTACATAATAATAATAATAATAATTTATCACTTACATGTTTGTCATCGATGGGTTTGGTCACGAGAGACACTGTCAGAATGATGACGCAGGAGATGACAAACAGGAGGATCCCAAAGTAAAGGTAGTGAACGCCACATATGATAGTGGGACAGTTACTGGGGGAAGCACAGCTACCTGTCCCATAAACAAACTCAGCAATCATCCTAATCAAGCCAATAACCAGTCCAATTACCAGTCCAAAAAAGGCCCCCTGTAGAAAGAAAGAAACAGGACAAAGGTCAGTCTAAATCAAGTAAAGTGAGTGATATTACCACAATATTGTATTTAAGGGAATAATTTTTGATGGATCCTTCTTGCTGTACATTTGATCACGTCAACACCACTCTTTGCTGCACAAAAATTAGGAAGCTATCACCATGACATGCTCCTACTAGCATTTGCAACACTTTTGGACTAAAGTAGGACCAGGCAGAAAATTACTGACCTAAAACTGATTCTCCCCCAAAATGCTGGTATTCTTAAGGTCTCCACACACCAGAAGTGACAATTGGATGACCTCAGAACTCAGTAATTTAGCTGTGAATGAGCATCAAAGTTTGGCCTCACAAGCGTTCTGACTTTCAGGTTTTTAAGCAGGAAATTTCCGAAATGATACACAGGGATAACTGGCTTGTGTGTAGAGCGGCTCTGACAAAAAGCACTCTAAAGGCTTTCCTTTATTTCCAGTCCATATACTAAGCTAACATAAGCTAACCAGCTCTTGGCTCCAGCTAATTTCCTGTACAGACATGAGACTTGTACCAATCATCTCATTTAACCCACAGCAAGAATGGAAACAAATGTCATTTTTCAATAAATCTCAGAGGTATGGGAAAAATAATGTCAGTGCACAAAACCACACTGGAAATCTGATTTAGAAAAGAAAAAAAAAAGAACATTGAATCAAAGGAGGCAACTCACAGTCTCATTGACACGTTTGCAGAAGATGGCAAGCAAGAAAACAGCTGCGACAGGTGGAGTTAGGAAGCTGGTGATGGACTGGATGTAGTCGAAGAGCTGACCACTTTGGGCTGCCTGCACCACAGGAATCCATGCTATGCTCAGACCAATCAGGACCAAGATAAAAACTCTAGACATTTGAAACAAATCCAGTCAGTATTCAACAATTTAGACGATGATTGTATCAGACACAGCGACGAAAATGTGTTTTACCTGCCAGCAATCATGAGTTCCTTCTCACTAGCAGAGCGACGGATTTTAGTGTAGATGTCCATGGTGAAGAGAGTACTGGCACTGTTGAAGATAGAGGTAAGGGAGCTCATCAAAGAGGCCAGCATCACAGACAGCATAAGACCTCGCAAGCCTGAAATAGAGTAACAGATCAAGAAAAGGAAAGATAAGCAAAGAAGCCTGTAGTTATTATTAACAGCTCATAAGACAAAGGTCACCAACCATCAGGCATGAGTTCGACGACCAGTTTCGGATAAGCGATATTGCTGCAGCCCACCTTGGTCCCACAGTATTTTTCACATTCGGTTGGATCCACACATGCTACCACATCTAGATTAAAGGCAAGAAAATCCACAGTGCGTGAGGTCAGCACTGAATAATTTTGTGCATGAACTACAAATATAATGTTAACCAATAAGCTTGCTACATAAGTTGCATGTAAATGGTAAATGGCCTGCATTTGTATAGCGCTTTTCTAGTCCATAGGACCCCAAAGCGCTTTACACTACATTCAGTCATCCACCCATTCACACACACATTCATACACTGGCGATAGCAAGCTACATTGTAGCCACAGCTGCCCTGGGGCGCACTGACAGAGGCAAGGCTGCCGGACACAGGCGCCACCGGGCCCTCTGACCACCACCAGTAGGCAAACACGGGGTTAGTATCTTGCCCAAGGATATTTGGCATGCAGCCAGGATGCAGCCTGGGATCGAACCACCGACCTTCTGATTAGTGGCTGACCTGCTCTGCCACCTGAGCTACAGCCACCCATGTCACACACATGTAACCACACTCACCTGTGTACAGGATCCTGCTAATCATCCCGGGGAAAACCATGAGGAACATGGGCAGCAGCTTCAGGTAACCACATAGGATACAACCTGCTTTAACGTGAGAGAGACTCTTGGCAGAGAGGCAGCGCTGCACAATCACCTACAATTAGGAAACAATGGGAGTACAATTCAGTGGTCATAAGCAACTAAATACATTTACTCAGGTATCACAATTTTACCCACATTTACTGTACTTTTAAACTTGGTGGTAGTTGTTATTTCTAGTTCATTGAGATTCGATGCAAAATATTATACTTGTAGAATAGTAATGTCTTTTACATTCAAACTAAGATTTCACAAATCATATGATATGTTTCCAAATTATAAAGTATAGTTTATACATGTAGAGGAACATCTATGAACGTTCAAGAGCAAAAGCTTCAACAAGACTCGTTTTTAGAAAATAATATGTAGAATATGTGGTCATGGAAAATACTTTGGGTACTAGAAGCTTTTATCTGCTTTCTAGAGTTCTCTTGTCCAGTCACATTGGAGCAGGCTTTGTGCGCATGGTGTTAAATAAAAGCTTATAAATTCGAAATCATCAACTATCATGAAAACATGGGCTTTTATGGGCTTGTTTAATATATCTGTATCCACACAGGATACACCTTTCAGAGACACGAAACATAAATCAATTTCTCTAGCATTTGTTATGTATTGATATTTACTTGTTTAATTTGTATTGCCAGCAGGGATGTCACAGAGTGCACTGTGATGTTCTTTACTTTTTGAAATTTAATTCATCAGCCTTATAAATGCTGAAGCTGTTGGAGCGCTGACCTTAAAGATGCTAAAAGTTTAATTTAAGATCCAACCACTTTGGGTCACCAGTGTATTGTTCTTTTTCTCTTGAAGTCATTGGCTCTCTATTGATGCATGTTGCTTCCTGTTTGGAAGCAGTTTGCTTGCATATATTCCAGGGTCCTGTTGTCTGGCTAACACTCTTGTGTATAAAACAACAGTAGTATAATCACTAAATCCAGACATAAATTAAGAACCCTTTTCTCAAAACACAATACAGTATTGATTCAAAAAGTCCAAAACACCAGGAAACAGATCCAGAGATCCCAACAGACAGTTAACTTGGGTCGCTGCAGGTATTGCAGTGTAGTGGTTCTTGCATTTGTGCAACATCTCCAAAATCAGAAAAATATGGTCTCAGAGTGATGTTAGTGATGCTTATTACTTCTAGGTGGCATTATTATCAGCTTGTCCTAAAAGCCCCCTGATAAGCCTTCAGCTGACCTGCTTGCATTGCCAATGGTTAGTTTACTCATTGTTGCTTGAGAATACTGAATTTCATTGACTTGTTACAGTCTCTGGTTGCCACGTTGCCAGTCTCTTCTGTGTGTACACCTGTTCCTAGCCCTGCATTAATTGACCGCAAAGCCTATACAAGTGGCTGACACTACATTTTTACATTTGCACTTATGAGCTGATGTGAAAAAAAAACAAAAAACAACTACATTTGGAACGATCATGGCTTTTACTTAACCTTGAAACACGAATTGTCAGAGCCATGAAAATTAAAAACACAACATATGTTGTTCGTGTTAGGATACAAACTAGATACAATTGCAGTCTCTTTGGTTTAGCAGATGTATTATCCTTATGCTAATTGATATACCCTGTTTACATAGTTGTTTTTGTCTGCATTGGTGCAACATGTATGAACATTTCTAGAAAGCTGAACGTCAGGCTGTAGTAATACAGTACTATAAATCAAGCTTAAATCAACAGCCTGGCCAATTGATTCTGAGCATAAGGGGGACTTGGCTGAATGATAGACTGGGTGGGTAAGTGGTTGTCATGGATTTCAAACCACTTTCAGTCTTTGTGGTTGAACTCAAAATGTTTGCTGAGTAAACCAAAGAAGCAAATCATCTTCTTCTGTAACGGAAAATAGATATACCATAGTGTTTTGTTCGCGTGTGCTCTATGTCACATGAATTGGTGTCAGGCTCTCGCTGAGATCCAGCGTCTAAACTAAAAGCATGGTTATCCTCTCACTGCAGACTGTTTTTTGAATATTGTTTTTTTTTTTAAATCTGTATGAACGGGCATGAATGTGCATGTGAGTAAATCAGTTGGCTGAGTCAGTGTTTATGACCACCCATTTGTTGTGAATGATTGCTAAAAACTATTGACGTGCCCAGCTCGATCCAAGACTCCATCTGCATTTTCAACACCTTGAACATAAATTTCTTCCAAATTATCTCTCCGTATAGAAATTGAGTCTAGTGAACACACCGAGGCAATCAGTTGAACGTGTCTCAGTTTTTCACTACAGACTGGTTGCTGAAAACTGCAGTTGAGCTGCCCAGTGCTCATTTCTTTGCTCACCTGATCAGTACACCAGTACCAGGTAGCTTGAATGGTGAGTCCAAACACGAGACCAGGCCATGGGAGGTCTCCTGTAACTGCATTTCTGAAGATATGGAAGGCGTCTGCCCGGGGCTCATAGCAGTTTGCACTGATGTTACCCGTGATTGAGGGGATAGCTTGCATGTAGAGTTTCTCAAAGTTTACATAGCCTCCCACCTCATGGAAAGCTGAGGAAAATCATATGGAAATTAGACTTTTTAAACCTTTCAAACAGATATGTGATATATGATAAGTGTCATATTACCAAAGCCCATGAGAATGAATGATCCAATAACCATGATGATGGTCTGTAAAGTGTCTGTGTAGATCACTGCTGCCAGTCCACCTGAGATACAATAGGATTATCAATGTTATGTCAATGTTATCAATCTGTAAACATTTTCACCTAAAATCTTGACATCTTATCACAACTAACAGACTACACTTGTTTGAAAGAACAAAAATCAACTCATCATGTCATTATGTAACTACTCATTCTGTAAGACTTGTAATTGTGGATGTGTTGTTACAAAACAGCAACAGAAGGCCAATTCAGGCTTATCATAGTCCATGGGCAATTAACCACAGCAACTCAGCAAAGATAAACCAGCAATGAGGAACGAAAGAGATTGTGTGTATGTGGTGTGTGTCTACATCACCACATATGGGCTTGGGAAGACTTTACCCCGGTCATAATATAATTTTTGTAGATAACACTTCTTGGGTAGTTTCTGAGGAAAATGTCAATCTATAAGTTCCGTAGAAAAGGAAGTGTATTTCTTCCGCGTACAAACCTGTGACAGTGTACAGTGCCGTAATCGCTAGAAGTGCAATAACAGCGAGATAGATGTTCAACCCAAGTGCCTGCTGGATGAAAATTGCACCCGAGAACATGTCTGCCTATATGGGGAAGGGTAAAAAATGCAGGATTTTATTCACGATCATCCACAAATGGAACAGTGTGTTCTGCATCTCTTGGAGGGACTCACTGAGATTTTGGTGAAGACATACAAGAAGAGGGAGAGAACAGAGAGATAAATGCGAATGCGCTGTCCTCCAAACCTCTTCTTCAAGTACTCAGGCATGGTGACGATCTAAATACATCGACAACAGATGAGATTTTACTCATTACTCACACTGTAGATAAACACGGTGGTTATGAATGCACATTTGGATAGGAGAATTAATACATATAAGGAGCTTTCAGGCCAGTGTGTAGCAGTAGTATTCTGTTTACCCCAGCTTTAATGTAGATGGGCACAAAGAGCCATCCCAGAATGACAACCACAACAAGAGCCTGAAAAACACGAACATAGAAGAAATAATCAGATATCCTGTTTCATTTCATCCTCTTCAGGCCGGAGCTCTCGTAACAATCTATCAGTTGACATGACAAAGATAACTGATAGAGTATCAGGGACAAGAACTACATGAGAAGTGGTATAACTGACTCAAGAACAGTTACTCACATTCCATTCAAATCCACCAATGGCTATTCCTGCAGCTGCGCCAGTACCAGCGATTCCTACAAAGTGGCCACTGCCAATATTGCTGGCAAACAGCGATGCTCCGATCTGTGGAGAGCACAGTTAAATCTGTCAGTAGCTCCTTTTAAAATTCAATTAGAATCCATTATGGGTTTTTTTGAAAGGTCATATACTCAGCATACTAAATAAGTACTAAATGGTTTTACACACTTGATTGCTCTAATAAAAATATGACAATTCATAAAATTCTTCTATTATGACACCCTTAATCACATTACATTCCATCTATTTGAACAAAGCAATAAGAACTAATTACTTTGCATGGATTATAAAGTAAAGGAGTCTTCCAAGGAAAGATACTCACCGGCCACCAAACCATACTCCTCCCTGCAAGGAAGAAGCCACCTACAGTGGATCGGTTGGTGCGGATCATAGCCTGTAATAGAACAATTTTTGAAAATGATTAAATCTGTGCAAAATAGCAACACACTACTCTGATAATCTGTTCATAAGCATCACATACAATATATGGACAAAAGTATCTGGCCACACCGCTTAAGTTTTCAGTTCCATTGCCACAGGTGTATGAAATCAAGCACCTAGCCACTGTGCTTTAAAAATATTAGTGGAAGAATGAGTCATTTAAAAATAATAGAACTCCAGTCTAATAGAATACCACTGTTGCAACTAGTCCCTTAAGTGTCTTCCCTCCTAGATATTACATTTACCAACAACTCAGCAACAAAATAGCCGACGATGTAAAGTTACAGAGTTTGGGTTACAGTTTGAGTCCTGATGAATAACCCTCCTGTGGCACTAACATCAGAGTAAACTGGGCGCTTCATAGGATGTATTTCAATGGCCTGCCAGCTCTTGTAGGTGTGATGGCTACGTGGCTCAGTAATTTTGTTCGTATGGTATAATTCTTATGTTTAAAATTGTGGGTGATTTCACACAACTTAAAGATATCACAGTAAAAGATAGATAAACATTATGAAATGCGAAATATGTGTCTGCGATCTGCTGTGGAAAGCTATTGTGTACCAGGTTGCTGAGAAAAATGACTGTGTCAATTGTGCAAAATGATTATTAGTAAAGAATGACACCTTTGTTATTTAGTAAGTTGCCTCTCAAATTAACATAAAAAGAAATGCTATTTTTTTCTTTGGCAATGTAATTCATTATTACTATTAACAGAAAATGTAATAACTCAAAACAACTTAAAGCTATAAAAATGTCAGGGAGCTGCAGAGACAGGGGATTTAAAGAATGATCAGGTGAAGGATTGTAAAACTTACCAATACTCCGACCCCCAGGACAACCAGAAAGTAGACCACAATAACGGAGATATCTGCCGCATTTCTAAGGGCCACCGTGTTGATTGTGTTGTTTTCTGCATTTCTGTTTATGTAGGAAAATCCATGATACGAATAATCTTGTGACATTTTGGCTGTGATGGACAACGGCAGTGTTGCTCGAGCTGCCCGTGTTTGTCTGAAGCATTTACACAAAGCGATTACCTTTATAACCTTTGGTGTGTGTGTGTGTGTGTGTGTGTGTGTTGGAGAGATAGTGTGTCAAAGAAGGAGGCATAGATGTAAAGGAGGGTAATAAAGAGTGGATTTAATCATTGATCATGATTTAATCATCTAAATCGTTAAAGCACATACTAGTTGAAAGTGGATGCATGTACAGATTGGCATGTAAATCTTACGGTTTCACAAATGTTGGTTTAAAAATGAATGTGTTAAAATATGTAACTGTTTAGCAAATAATATTGTTAATTATAAACCTACAAGGAAATACCTCAAGTGAAGATACTTGAGATACAAAAACCTAACAGGTAGTATTTGTATCGCAGTGGGTTATAGCTCAAATTTAATAAAGTATAATCCAGTTTAGGTTGCTGCAAGTGTGTACATGACAGCTCTGTTAAACTGTAACCATTTGCTGTGTCACTGATAAACTGATTGTGACAGCTTTGTTGATAAGTAAAACAAGAATAGCCGTCAAACACTGCCACTGATAACTTGTCTCACTCATGTCAAGGAAATAAGGAAATATTTTTTTCTCACTTACTGCAAGTCTATGACAACTAATACTCACAGGAAATAATATTGATAAAAGATGTTTTATTTCCCCTTTCTAGGTTATTTATTAGTCTCACTGCTGTTTGAGGAGGTCTGTAACAGACTGAAAAATACACGAGAACCAATGTCAGAATAAAAAATGTTACCTGTGATATTCAGCCAAACCAAACAGCACCAAAACAACAAAGGAAACACATCAGAGGGCGATATGTATGATTTTTATGTATGTATGTTAAAGTCAATGGACAGATACAGTTGATGTTGTGAACCTTTGCATGTTAATATCATTTGGATAAGACAGTCTTTGTTGTTCCAGCAGTTGGGAAATTCACAATATTACAGTATCAGAGTGGACAGAGCGGGAATAAATAGATGCAGCACAAGCAAACAATATTATGAGGTGACTAAAGACACAAGTACTATCAGCTGCCACTAGGTGTCCCTACAGTAACAGCTTTATGAGCCAGATGTCACTGAGCTCTGACAGGTGAAGAACAGGTTGTGTTAAAGTTTCTTTCCTTATGCTTTGCTTCCAGTTACTTTGCTTGACACCTGATAAACAAACCACATGATAGTGTTCAAGGCTCTGTTCTCACGTGTAATGCGCAAAGCTTGCAGTAATTATTTGGTTGTGAAGACACAGGTGTGGTGTAGGTGTGGTTCCCAAAAAGCAACGCCCTGCATTCCATGATCGTATGATTTACCACACTCAGCGACCTTTTTTATGGCATCAGCATAATAAAATTATTATTGTAGTTACTATCTGGTCAGTTAAGGTTTTATTGCTTTTATATTGTCTTTTTTATATTGCCTGAAGGCCAGAGAAGATATAAGAAAAAGATATGGCATTAGAGTGTTACTCTATGAGCGAGTTCTACAACGGAAAAGATGGAGGTAGAAGAAACGTTATGATACGTTATTCTAGGATAAACTTTTGGAGTGTTTTTGTCTGATGTGAATAGTGATTTTATATACGTGGTGATCGTGGCTCATGAGTTGGGAGTTCGTCTTGTAATCGGAAAGTTGCTGGTTCGAACCCCGGCTCCGACAGTCTCGGTCGTTTTCTCCTTGGGCAAGACACTTCACCCGTTGCCTACTGGTGGTGGTCAGAGGGCCCGGTGGCGCCAGTGTCCGGCAGCCTCGCCTCTGTCAGTGCGCCCCAGGGTGGCTGTGGCTACAATGTAGCTTGCCATCACCAGTGTGTGAATGTGTGGATGACTGGATGTATAAAGGGCTTTGGGGTCCTTCGGGACTAGTAAGGTGCTATACAAAATACAGGCCATTGCAAGGTTTTTATGTCCTGGTGACCACTGCAATGAAAGTTAAATGTAATAATGGTTCAGAATACACAAACAAGAGCCCAAAGATGATCACAGATCACAGTGCTGGATTGTTCTTTACAAGTGAAGGCTAACCTGCAGCTTCATTCACAAAATATTTCAAATTTACCATTAAGATAAAGAAGAAAATTCATACTTCTCCCAAATGATCTTCAGACATTTTAGAATGACAAATAGCATACAAATGTGTAAATATTTATGCACTTCAACATTTTTTAAGTCTAATATGTATTAATATATTACAGTCTACTGGTTCACTTAAACTTTTAAATACCAGGAAGCAATAAAGAAAAGCACAGTGCTCTAAACATAAGGTTTAAACAGGGTTTTAGGGCTGAGGCCTACTGAGCAGTCTGTTAAATTTGTATAAATTAGACTCTGTGAGCAGTTGAAATCAGCTGACTTTTAGCCAAAATAGGCATGACAGAACACAGCCACACACAGAAGGATGACGGCGTTGACATTGACTACGTTCCTCCACAGAGGCACCTCTGAGGTGTCTGTCAGCTTCCTTTGCAGCTCTTCCTCCTCTTCTTTAGTCAGCTTGGGGGCTTTCTTGGTTTCCAGGCCGCAGAAGCACATCACCGCTTTCTTCAAGAAGCCAGGCTCATCATCTGCAAAAGAAGAAACAAGACAAACGAAAGTTTGCATGTATTTGTTTATATGTATGCATAACATGTGTTAAATATGGTAAATGGCCTGTATTTATATAGCGCTTTACTAGTCCCTAAGGACCCCAAAGCGCTTTACATATCCAGTCATCCACCCATTCACACACACATTCAAATACTTGTCAGTTTCACACAAAACACCCCTTTTTTCAATTAAATATTTCATTTTGCATCTCAATCTCCTACCTGTGTGATCTGAGTCTGTGTGCGTTCGTGTGTGTGCGCTGCGTGGTGACGTAGGCGCGTGCATTTGTGCCCCGGTCTCAGCTCCTTTCAGCATGGCCGGAGGTAAGTCACTGCCACGTTGCTCTCAGCTAATTAAAGTTTGCTCAGACCCCAAGCTGCAATTTGAATACAGCCGAACCGCCGCGTTTTTGTTTGTCATTAAGAGACTCATTCGGGATAAGTTAGTCTGATCGCTAGCGGCTTGTGGGCGTATTCGCTGCAGTTTTTTTTTTTAACAGTGTGCACTCTTTTTTCCTTCGTCAGGAGAGGTGTACTGGCAGGTGTGTGACACACACAGATCCCCCCCCCCCCCCCCCCCCCCCCCCCCCCCCCCCAATTTTTTTGCACATGTCGAGGAGCGTCAGGCTACATTTCACTGTGTGTTATACTTGTATAACTATGCATGTGACAAATAAAGAACCTTGAACCTTGAACCTTGATCAGACCCTTATTTCTGTGTTGCAGGTATGGAGATGTTCTCTTGTTTTGGAGATGCGGTCTTTCATTCAGTGTTTTTAATGGTACAGTGTTGTATTGCCTGTTGGATGGCGGTTGTTAATATGATTGTACTGAAGTATAATGTTTGAACTATAAGCACTAGAATATTGGGTCCTGGTTATTAAATTGTATTTGTCTGACTGTTTATTTGTTTTTGAATTATTTTGTTTATTGTTCTTATAAGTTCTTTTGATGATTTTTCAGTAACATATTATTTATTTTGTGCTTTTTGTTTTTGAGAGCTTAAGTTAATGTTTTAAAACAATTCGTTGTATTTGATTTATTATATTATTGTAGCATTAATAAAGCTGCAGGCACAGCTCCTTTCAGCCTGGCCGGAGGAGAGGTGTACTGGCAGGTGCGTGACACACACAGATCAGACACTTATTTCTGTGTTGCAGATGTGCAGTAAAGAGCCAAAGACCCAGTGCTGTCTTGTGCCTCTTACTTTCATGCCAGAACACAATGCAACAACAACAGGCGTAACACATGAACGGGTTACATATGGATGCATATTTACTGTGCTATATTTTACTCTGCTGCGTATGTCAGCTCATTACCGTCTGAGTCCACACTGTTGGAATCTTGGTTATCAGTCCAATCATCCATCTCAAGATCGTCCCTCTCCTCTGTACAGTTCCTCAGGCTCCAGCACAGTCGATACAACTAGTCAAACGGCACAAAATGTGGTAAAAAGTATTATCAGAAAATTTATCATTTTATTTTACTTCTTAATAACTGATTAAACACAGTTTAACAAGGAGACTCAGCAGATATGAAGGTTAAAGCAAGTTAAATCTCCATACTAGATCAGTCTGGTGGAAGCTGGAGGATGAGGATAGAGGGAAGGTGTGTTAGGAGGCAGTAAGATAGAAGAAAAAAGCAGGAGTGTAGAGGCAACATTAAATGTAGGCTGGTTACAACTATGGCTGGTAAAGGGAGAGAGCTGGCGGATATAATGAAGAAGGTAGATGTATTGTGTGCAAAAGAGTAGATGGAATAGAAGCAAGGCCAAGAGCACTGGAGATGGATTCAAACTCTAGAGTGCGACCAATTTCAATGGTGCGACTAAAAAAAAAATCTTAGGTCGCACTGGTGTGACCAACTGTTCGAGTGGAAAAAAAAGACTCCGCAACTCTGAAAGTCTCTGTGGTCAACAACACATTATGCCTCTGTCGTGGTCTAAACCAATCAGGGATAGTCAGGGGTGGGACCTCTCTGATTGGTCTAGATATTCCTGTAGCCTTTCGCAAGTACGTTTGAAAGTGCAGGCGGATAGAGAGAGGTGAGCTGTAGTGATGGGATTTCCGGCTCTTTTTAGAGATCCGGCTCTTTCGGTTCGGCTCACTAAAAAGAGCCGGCTCTTTCGGCTCCGAACCGGCTCTTCAGGTTGTTTTGTTGCTTTAATTAATTTATTATTAACAATAATATAAAATTATGCACAAAAGGAATTACTAAGGTAAAAACAAGTGGTTTTATTTATATATGTTTATATATAAATATATGCGGTGGCCCCTAGAGACAAAACACGTACAAACTCCAAAACACATTTCTAGCATGAACTGAACTTCCAAAGCAGAGCTACTAGATCACTTAAATTACACAATTGAAAGCATGTGTGTATTGTTTGTGTATTTATACACAGGCACTCATATATATATTCAAATAATTTAAAAAAAAGTTCATTTACCTGTTATTACCACACACCAAATCCGGTCGTTGGTACTTGCTGGCTTGTGTAGCCACAAGATAACAAAGGCTCAACACTGCACCCAGCATCCTGGAGCACTTCTGTTGTCTTTTGTACGTGTTTTGAGTTTTTATGTGCTTCTGAGTTTTTATATGCTTCTGAGTTTTTACGTGCTTCGGAGTTTGTACGTGTTTTTACATGTTTTGGAGTTTTTACGTGTTTTGGAGTTTGTACGTGTTTTGGAGTTTGTACGTGTTTTGGAGTTTGTACGTGTTTTGGAGTTTGTACGTGTTTTGGAGTTTGTACATGCTTCAGAGTTCGTACTTGATTTGAAGTTTGTATGTGCTTTGTCTCTAGGGGCCACCGTAAATATACTTTTATTTATTCACTCCACATAAAATGTAATAAATAAATCATATAATACAAAAATCAACTATTCACATTTCAAGTTTTAACTATTTAAATTTTCAGCTTTTTCCTTTCACAAATTTAAAGTGAAAAGAACACAAAACACTGCAAACCACAACACAATTAAATATAAATTATAATATGAAAACAAAAAGAACATGCATATTCTCTGTCATATGGACCTGCATGAATAAACTTTCTTAATCCTTTATCATCTGCAACCGAAAATAGTTGTGGATGATTACTATACCTTTCTAATGTTGTTGTCCCTGCCTCTCTTTCTCTCTCTCTCTGGCTCTGTTCCTGTGCTACTGAGTGTAACTACCGCCCCTCCCCCCTCTGCCCAGCGTAAAGCACAAGGCTCGCGTGCAGAGTGAAGCGGAAAAAAGTGCGAGAGAGAGGCTGAGAGAAAGAAAAAAAAAACAAAAAACCCACGTGAGGGCTCGCGATAAAAAGTCGGCTCGCGTCGTTCACGTCAAAGAGTCGGCTCTAAGAGCCATTTCGTTCGCGAACGACCCATCACTAGTGAGCTGCTTGAATAAAGCGCTATCGATTTATTAAATCTGAATCGACTTTTAAATATAAACGTATTTTGCCAGAAATGCCAGAATCTCAGGTTAAAGCTCACAAAACTATTTCAACAACCACCAAACAGCAAATGAGAGCAGGTACACAGAGCTGCAGGTTTTGTCTCTCTCCAACCAAAATTCACTGAACCAGCAGCAAAAGATGATCCAAACTACGATTCACATTTGATAAATGTCGTCATTAATTCCCTCTTACTTTTGCTGTTTTTTTTCCTTCCACCATGATAAAAATCACACTTCATGCACAGCTCTCTCTCTCTCTCTCTGTGTACTTCAAGAACAGTTTCTCATCTCAAGTCTCTGTTTTCGGTATTATTCATTCGCTTATTACCAGTGTTGGGACTAACGCGTTACTTAATAACGCGTTACAGTAACTACGTTATTATTGTGGTAAAGAGCACGGTAACTAGTTATTATGCCAAAATCAGGAACGCGTTACTCGTTACTGGGATTTAGATAGGCTCGTTACTCGATACTTCGTGTGGTGGCTATCGCGGAGCTTCCACAGATTCAGTAACATTAGCAAGTGGTGGAGGCCAGCAGGTGGAAGAAGGAAAAGAGACCCGAGGCGGCCGCCGGTCCAAGTGTGAACTGAACTTCAGGTAAGAAGTTATGACCTGCAGTCTCTCTGGGTCAGATATGAACCAAGTTTAGGTGTAGTTTATTTTCGTTATTCTGACTTTTTCCGTACTGCGTACTAGCTAGCATGACGGAGTTTCTATACAGCTGGGTGGGTGCTATGAAGTTAATGATGTTGAACTTTATTTTGTTCATAAGTTATTAGAGTTGCCAACCCTCCCGTCTGGTATTCAGAGAAAATATTAAACGCTTCTTATTGAGGTGAAAAGGAACAGTTTGTCCCGTAATTCAGCTACAATGGAAAAGACACAAAGCTGGAGTTATTCTGTCTTTGCTGCACAGCTGCCTCTTCTTCTTTCATTCTCCCCCCTCCCTCTCCCGTTTCTACTTCAATCATGAAACTGATCAATGATCAGCTGATCGGCTCTCTTGTTTGTTTATCGCTCACTTTGCGCCGAAAGAGGAAACCAGCGGATGTCGCGCTAAACAACAGCAGCACGTTTAAGCTTGATCAGCTGTTGTTAGAATTTATTTAATATTAATTTCTAGTATCAGCTGATGTTTGCTGGAGCCACAGCTGCAAAAAAGCTGCTCGTCATGATATGGTTTGGTTATCTGGTGAGAGGGAAACATGAAGATGAAACCAGGAGATGTCCTTACTGGATCATCAGAGCTGAACAGGTGATGGAGAAACAGGTTTACCTTTTAGGTGACATGAATGAGTTGAAGGGAAGTTATGAACTGTGTTACACCCCGGCCTAGGCAACCGGGGTGCAACGTAGGAAAATAAAAATAAGGAAAATAAAAATAAGGTAAAAAAAAAAAAAAACACACGAGAAAAAACTAATACGGGTTTCCACAAAAATCATCCCAAAACGACCACTATTTTCTTTAAAGCAAAATGATATTTATTTACAACGCAAGGCGCCAAACTATTTACAACGGGGGGGGAAAAAGATCGCGACCATGACAACTGACACACAGGGCTTAAATACATGGAGGGAACAATCAGGGACTGGACAACAGGAGGGAAACACAGCTGGGGCATATCAGAACTGACGAGACAGGGAAAATGTAAACTGAACACACTAAGATGACACAGACTTTCAAAGTAAAGTAGGAAACACATAACAGTCACGCAAAAACAACACATTACCAACGCCAAATCGTCAATCCCGGAGGAGCACCTAGACACTCAAATCCACACACAATTACGGTCACAGCCGTAACACCCCCTTACCCAAGAATTAACATTAACCCCAAAATGTTTAATTCAAGGAAACACCCAAAAAACAAACATTTAAAACATACAACCCCAACGAAAAATATTTGTTCCATGTCCAGCCCATACGGCACCGGCCACCGTCCCGCAGGCGACGCTGATGACTGGACGGGTCCTCCAGTGGAAACGGAAAACCGGAGCGGGCCCTCGGATCCTCCAGCGAAAACAAACGAAGCCGATGAAGGCTGGAGCGGTCCCTCGGACACTCCAGCGAAGGCGGATGAAGGCTGGAGCGGTCCCACGGACCCTCCAGCAGACGACGAAGGCTGGGGCGGTCCCTCGGATCCTCCAGCGACGGTGGATGAAGGCTGGAGCGGTCCCACGGATCCTCCAGCGAAGACAAACGAAGCTGATGAAGGCTGGAGCGGTCCCTCGGACACTCCAGCGAAGGCGGATGAAGGCTGGAGCGGTCCCACGGACCCTCCAGCAGACGACGAAGGCTGAGGCGGTCCCTCGGACCCCCCAGCGAAGGCAAATGAAGACTGAAGCGGTCCCACGGACCCTCCAGCAGAGGCAGATGAAACTGATGGAGGCTGGAGCGGTCCCCCTGACCCTCCAGCAGACGACGAAGGCTGGAGTGGTCCCACGGACCCTCCGGCGAAGGCGGATGAAGGCTGGAGCGGTCCCCGGGCCCTCCAGCGAAGACAGACGGAGGCTGAAGTGGACCTCCCTCGGACCCTCCAGCAACGGCGGACGGCTGAAGCGGCCCTCGGACCCTCCAGCGAAGACAGACGGCCGAAGCAGTCCCTCCCTCGGACCCCCCAGCGATTGGACGAGCCCCCATATGTTACACCCCGGCCTAGGCAACCGGGGTGCCACGTAGGAAAATAAAAATAAGGAAAATAAAAATAAGGTAAAAAAAACACACGAGAAAAAACTAATACGGGTTTCCACAAAAATCATCCCAAAACGACCACTATTTTCTTTAAAGCAAAATGATATTTATTTACAACGCAAGGCCCAAACTATTTACAACGGGGGGGGAAAAAGATCGCGACCATGACAACTGACACACAGGGCTTAAATACATGGAGGGAACAATCAGGGACTGGACAACAGGAGGGAAACACAGCTGGGGCAAATCAGAACTGACGAGACAGGGAAAATGTAAACTGAACACACTAAGATGACACAGACTTTCAAAGTAAAGTAGGAAACACATAACAGTCACGCAAAAACAACACATTACCAACGCCAAATCGTCAATCCCGGAGGAGCACCTAGACACTCAAATCCACACACAATTACGGTCACAGCCGTAACAACTGTTTCTGAGAGACAAATAACCCCAGGATCCTTTTTTAGGTAGCTGACAGCTGGTAACTGTGCAGGGGCGGGTCTAGCAAAGTATTGCCAGGGGGGCATGTAGGGCATTAACAGGGAGAGGTGGGCACAAGGAAATACTTTTCTTTCTTATTCTCGTTTAAAATGTCTAGCTTTTAAAAAATAATTATCTGAATCTTACAACAAACGATTGATAGATTGATGCATATTAACCATCAAAACAGTGTACATCACAACAGCGTTTGTTTTCATTCAAAGGCTTTATGATTTTTCCTATAATGGTGGGCCGGTCTCTAGTCAAAATGCCCGGGACGATTTTTTTGTCCCAGTCCAGCCCTGTATGCAGCTCATCTGCAGTCTGGTGTTGCCTACATCTTCCTATTCAGAAGGCAGAATTTCCGAGTTCTGAGTACAATCGAAAGCACCACGACTACAGTTTTTGTGTTGGATGTAAAAGGTGCACATGACTCTGTGACGTAGGCTAGAATCATGGCAGCAGTCAATGACGGTCCAGGCGTGGGATTTCTCTCGTGGAAATATGCACATTATCTTTTCCTTTCTATTGGTAGGTGGCACAGTGCACTTGTGGCAAGTAAGCAAGCTAGAAGACTGGCAAAGTTATGGAAGAAACACATTAACAAGAGAATTCTGAGTAAAACCAAAGTTACTTTCCCTAGTAACTAGTTACTTTGAAAGTAACGAGTAACTTGAAGTAACTGAGTTACTTTTGAGAGAAGTAACTAGTAATGTAACTAAGTTACTATTTTAAAGTAACTTACCCAACACTGCTTATTACCCACCAGTCTACCGTAGTTTACAGTGCTGTCGGCCGCTGTCTTTTTAAAAATTTTTTACTTTACTTAAATGACCTCGGACAAAGCCTAATTTCTGCTGGTCAATACTGAAGAAATTTAAACTTTTAAAATTATGTAAAATTGCAGAATAATTTTAAATTTAAGTTTTCTTTTAAGTTTTCTGTTATAAAAAGCCAGGAAAACCTCCTTCATGTTTTTCTGTGTTTTATTCTCAGTTACTTTGACACAAAGGCTGTGATGCTCACAATTCTGACGAAGTCATACATGTATCAGCACTGATAAATGATCAGAATTATAATATTTCTGACTGTCTGTGGCAAAGTTGAATCGAATTGAATGGATTATAGAAAACGGTGATGATACCCAGCCCTAGTGAGTAGCCTAGGCCCGACAGAAGTGGATGTAGCTGTGGGTAATAAGAAAAGATGAAAAGAACGATTGACAACTTTTTTGTTAAGGCCTGATCCGTCTGAAATTCATAGTCAGTGCTCTGACACGGAGCCATCAGTATCTAAACGCTGAAAAAATACATATATCCAGAAAACACATTATATGCTGTGATAAAGGCACTGCCCAAGTGTCCCCTCTTCCCACTGCCTTTCAGCGGCAGGCAGCAGCAAACAGGTCATCAGAGGAGGCCGATGTGATGATTAAGTTTAATTTTGTCAACAATATTACCAAAGAATGCCAATGCACTTTAAGCACAAGCACTTTTTCAGTAACTTATCTTTCTTGTACAACTGTGCTCCAAATAAAGAACTTTGTGTTGACAAGATTGTTAGTTAATCATTTACAAATCAATATTGTCTGTATGGACTGCAATTCCCCCCCCCAAAAAAAGTGCACATCTAAAACTGTGGTGTTAAGCAATGCGGTTGAAAAATTTGGGTGTGCCTAACTTTGGCGCTGGTGCAATTGGCAAAAAGCAAAAAGTTAGTGTAGAGCCCTGTAAGAGTATGTGTATACTGTTGTAGAGGTGAAGAGAGTGTCAGACAGGATCATGAGAGGTCAGGAGGTGTTGTAGATGTGGAGAAAGTATATGGTAGGGTGTCATCAGCATGAATGGAGCAACAGAGAAAAATATATGGGTGCATTGGTATTTTGGTGTCTTAAATTAAAAACTTACATGTTTGTCGTCAATAGGTTTGGTCATGAGAGACACTGCCAGCATGACGATGCCGGAGATGACAAACAGAATTAGCCCAAAGTAAAGGTAGTGAACTCCACATATGATAGTGGGACAGTTACTGGGGATAGCACAGCTACCTGTCCCATAAATAAACTCAGTAATCATCCTGCTCAAGCCCATACACAGCCCAATTAAGAGGCCATAAAATGCACCCTGTGGAAAGAAAGAAAAAAGGACAAATATTACTTTATATCAAAATACTTTTAAAAAGTTTAAAGGTTTAAAAATGGTAAATAAATACAATATAGTAAAATATTAATAGATAGCAACATATATATGTATATATAATATTGTGTTTGAAGAAATAGTTTTGGATAAATGCTTCTTGCTAAAAGTGAGATTGAATCAGCGCTACATTTGGATGCATATTGAACAGGAAGCTGGAATCATGATTCTTACAGTATATTAACATACCAGCATTTGTAACTCTTGTTGCATCCTGTGTTTAATATGTACAGATCCAAAATATAAAAAATGTGTCTACAAAAAGTAGTTTGACAGTTCATGAAGGAATATTTACCACTTTTGCCCAAGTGTAATACTATTTTGTGGTCAGGACCTACTGGGATGTTACGCAAGCTGATTGTCAACACATAGAAAGTGACTATTTATATGGAATCCAGAGATAACTATAAGACAATTAAATTTTGCAATTCAATTATGAATACAGACTTTGAAAGCAGGGGCTCACAATCCTTCTGACTTGCTGAGTTTTAAGTAGTAAGTGTCTGCCAAGACACCACGGGGATGAATAGTTCGTGGTGGCCTAGCGCTTATCGCAATGTTGCATTTTAATCTGTTGGTTTTACATTTCAATCATGATGTGGACATTTTGTAATAATTAAACAACTTATTAATAATTGAACTTTTTCAGTGGTTGTGGGTGGAAATAACTACTTTTGCCAAGAAGCACTCTGACAGCTCTATTTTATTCCCAGTCCATCTACTGAGCTAAGCTATGAACTACTTGGCTTATTTTTCTCTACAGACTTACAGATTGGTTTAATCATTTATCCCTAAAACTCAGCAAAGATGTAAACTGTTTTTCTTAAAGTGTCAAATGACAAAAGCTTTGCTCTTGATAACATTTTCCTGACTAAATCCCAGAGGTATGTGAAGGATTCTTTCACTGTGCAAAACCACAGTGAAGAACAGATTTCTTTCTTATTTCATGAAAAAGTCAAGCAAACACTTACAGTCTCATTGACACGTTTGCAAAAAATGGCAAGCAAGAAGACAGCTGCAACAGGTGGGGCAAGGTAACTGGTGATGGATTCAGTGTAGACAAAAAGCTGACCACTTTGGGCTGCCTGCACCACAGGAATCCATGCTATGCTCACACCAATCAGGGCCAAGATAAACACTCTGTACATAGTTGAAAAAAATGCAATCAGTATTTAACACTTTAGACAATCATTGTATCAGACACAACAACAAAAATGTGTTTTACCTGCCAGCAATCATGAGTTCCTTCTCACTAGCAGAGCGACGAATTCTAGTGTAGATGTCCATGGTGAAGAGAGTACTGGCACTGTTGAAGATAGAGGTAAGGGAGCTCATCAAAGAGGCCAGCATCACAGACAGCATAAGACCTCGCAAGCCTGAAACAGAGTAACAGATTAAAAAGTAGAAATATAAAAAAAATCTGCAATAATTAAAAGTTAATAAGACAAAGGTCACCAACCTTTAGGCATGAGTTCCACGACCAGTTTCGGATAAGCAATGTTGCTGCAGCCCACCCTGGTCCCACAGTGTTTTTCACATTCATCTGGATCCACACATGCTACCACATCTAGATTAAAGGCAAGAAAATCCACAGTATTTCAGTTTATCACAACTTTAAATATACCAGTAAGCTTGCTACATAAGTTGCATACAACAGACTCTTAAAACCACACACCACACTCACCTGTGTACAGGATCCTGCTAATCATCCCGGGGAAAACCATGAGGAACATGGGCAGTATCTTCAGGTATCCACATAGGATACAACCTCCTTTCACGTGAGAGAGACTCTTGGCAGAGAGGCAGCGCTGCACAATCACCTACAATTAGGAAACAATTGTAGTACAATTCAGTGGTGGTAAGCAACAAAATACATTTACTCATAGAGCCAGATTCAATGTGAAGTATTGCAACAAGCTGAGAAATCAGACAGCAAGAAACTCACAAGGAGGCACTGAATCTTCAAATACTGCTGTAAACCCTACAACTCCAAAGGCTGTGCTCTTTTATTCTGCATTTATTTTTTTTATTATTATTATTATTTTTTTGCCTGTCCCATTTGGTTCTTTAGCCGTCAGAATTGTTGTCTGAAGACCAACAAGGATACCCAATGGATTTATTTTGCCAAATGGATCATTGTGGCATTGCCGTATTGGTCCATTTGATCGACCTTTGTTTTTATTATTTATTTTATTTTATTTTCAGTTGTTACAGGCGGGACAGACATGAGTGAGGGATAGGAAAGGGAGAAAGAAAGAGGAAGGAAAAGAAAAACAGAAGGTGAGATGGACAGTGAGAAAAGGGGGGGAGGGGAATCTCCTGGATCACCTGTTGAGAGAAAAAGGATAGAAAACAAGCAACAAAAACCAAAGCAACATACTAAACACAACATCATCGCATTAATCTAGCTAAGTGTAGACAGCAGTAAATACTAAATATTCAATGTTGTTGTGCAGCACGCAGGACTGACAGCTCACAATGTGCTTTGAAGTAGTAGCCAAGAAAGGTGTAATTTAAGTCTACGAACAGTGAACACCCATGTGCACACCTGTGTGGATCAGCGTGCTTGTATTCAAATGGTTTCCACATGTAATGGTCTGCAAGAGGATGTAGCGAGCCATAGCCCTGTCCCCCAGGGCATGAAGCAGGCATGGAGGAGATCCAGGCCCCAGACATCCAGAGGCCCCAGAGTGCGAGAGCATTTGCATTTAAAAAGCATATTAACACTGTGCTTCCAGCAGGTTACTATCACTGTGCATAACTTATAACATATGCATCTCTTTTCCATCATAAAGAACACGTATAAGTCTAAACAGACCTGCAGCATGGAACATACTATTACAGCTACATAACCATAACAGTAAACATAAATTTCTTAAATTAAGTATGAAACACAGTGTTCCAGAGGCATGATGGGAAATTACATTTAGACACTCCACACAGCCCTCACCTAGGTGATTAGCTGTCCCCAACAACCCACATGTCTGTGTCAAAATCTTTGAGATGTTGGGGGAGGTGACACTGTCGTTGAGTCAGATTAGAAGATTCCTCAGTGGTCTCTCAAGTTGGGTTGAGAGTCTAGGGTTAGTGCTGGAGCCCTGAGTGCATGACAGTCACGATGGAGCACAACCACCTTTTTTATTTTGACCAGCCACACCATGTAAACCACATCTGACAGTCTGTCATACACATTGCAGAGTCCAACGCACTGGCTCATCAGTTTAGGAGAAATGCTTATCTTTCTCTCCGGGTTGAAGGCCCACACCTGCTCCCCAGGTACAAGACCTTTCACCCTGAATCATACAGTAAGCATGTTTCTGCTGGGAACTTGCATCAACGAGGGCCTACCTCATCAGCTTATGAGATCCCCCAACTAGGTGGTTAGCTGTCTCCAAAACCCCACATGTCCATGTCAAAATCTTTGAATTGTTGGGGGAGGTGACACTGTCGTTGAGTTGGCTTTGAAGATTCCTCGGTGGTCTCTCAAGTTGGATTTAGGGTCTACGGTTGATGATGGGGCCCTGAGTGCAAGACAAGGAGTGCTCATCATGGAGCAAAACCACCCTATTCTATTTGACCAGCCGCACCACTCTTTCCGCTCTGAGTAAGGTTGCTACCTCTAGGCTAGGCAGGTGGCGCTTCAGCAGCTTCACAAGGCTTTGTTCCTTGTCTTGTTATGATAAGCAGTAGCCTATTCTTCTTAAATTCCAGCATCATGCTACATGGTAAATGGTAAATGGCCTGTATTTATATAGCGCTTTACTAGTCCCTAAGGACCCCAAAGCGCTTCATCCACCCATTCACACACACATTCACACACTGGTGATGGCAAGCTACATTGTAGCCACAGCCACCCTGGGGCGCACTGACAGAGGCGAGGCTGCCGGACACTGGCGCCACCGGGCCCTCTGACCACCACCAGTAGGCAACGGGTGAAGTGTCTTGCCCAAGGACACAACAACCAAGACTGTCCAAGCCGGGGCTCGAACCGGCAACCTTCCGGTTACAAGGCGGACTCCCAACTTGAGCCACGATTGCCCCGATCGTCCATGTGTTTTCTCTCTTCATCCATGTCTTCTTTATCTGTGGTTTCTGCTCCTCATGTTAAAGTCACTCAAAAGTTAAATTCTTGGTAAGAAGACATACAGCGAGTTTTAGCCTTTTTCCACCTTTATTCAAATTTCTATTACTGTTTACAAGTACTTTGTTCTCTGGTCTTCATTAGTCTACAATCTCTTTTGTAGGCTCTCTCTCTGCTCTCCTTGCCTCAAATGGTTTTCCAGCATTATTGCAGACTCTCTTGTATCTCCTGACAATTCTCAGCCTTTTGCAGGTTCTGTGCTCTTCCTCCTGGCCTCTATTGGCCCTTGAGCGATATTGTAGGTTCTGTCTTCTTTCTTGAACTCTCAGCCTTTTGGAGATTTTCTGCTTTCCATCCTGGCCTCTGATGGCCCTTAAGTCTTATCTCAGGCTCACACTCTCTTCTGGCCTCTGACAGGCCTTGAGCCAAAATTCTCTCTCTCCTCCTTTCCTGGCCCCTGTAACATTGCAGCCTTAATGCAGGCTCTGGCCTGGCCTCCAACAGCTTTCCAGCCTTATTACAGGCCTTTTTCTTCCTACTCACCTCTGTCAACCCACAAATCTTATTGCAGGTTCATATCACTCTCTGCTGGCCTCTGATGGCCCTTGAGCTTTTATCGCAGGCTCATTTTCTGTCCTGCTTCCCTTTTTCCTGTTTGCTATCTGGACCTTTTCATCAGTTGACTATATTCTGTTCCTTTGGTCATGTCTCCTATGGCATTATTTTTGTGCCACTATTCTGAGCGCACGTAAAAAATATTTGCAGGTGCAAGTGTTGCATTTTGAGGAGAAATTTATTTTGAGCAGTGTGCAAACACTGAAATGTATTTCAGTGTTTGCTATTATCCACACACACACACACACACACACTCACACGCACACACACACACACACACACACACACACACACACACATTTGCGCTTGCTCGCAACATGTTGCTTGCGCTCTCAACATTTCTGCCCGTGCGCGTTCAACTCTTTCTGTACACCGTTATATTTGTGCCACAAAACCAGCCAATCACAGACTTGACTCACAAAAATTCTGATTGGCTGTTTTGGTCTCCAATCAGCTTGAAATGACGAAATGCAATATCCCAGAATCTATTTTGTCCAAAACTCAAACAAGGCAGTGGCGGAGGAACACAGAGTGGCGGAGTTTGAAATATTACTCTTTCTGATCACAAAATAAACTTTTAAGATATTTTCATGCGAGAATGGTGCTGAGTAAACTCCAAATATCTGCTCGATTTATCAAGACATCACATATTTGCATAAGTTCTCTAATGTTTTCGGAGATGCCTGTTACCCACTAGCTGACGGGGTGGTCACTCGGGTTTAGCATAATGTATAAGGCTGAACTGACAAAAAAATCAGCCGACTACACCACCAGGTATTATAGGAAAAACCATAAAGCCTTTGAACTAAAACAAACACTGTTGTGACAGTGATGTACACTGTCTTGTTGGTATATATGTATGATTTGTATCACCTTCATGTTTCCAAACCGATATCATGAGCAGCAACTTTTATAGCTGTGGCTCCAGCAAACATCAGCTGATACTAGAAAAATTAATATTAAATAAATTCTAACAACAGCTGATCAAGCTTGAACGCGCTGCTGTTGTTTAGCGCGACATCCGCTGGTTTCGTCTTTCTGGTGCAAAGTGGGCAATAAACAAACAAGAAAGACGGGACTTGTGGCAGAAAAGCCGATCAGCTGATCATTGATCAGTTTCATGATTGAAGTAGCAACAGGAGAGGGAGGGGGGTGAATGAGGGGAGAACACTCAGTTGTGCAGCAAAAACACTGGATAACTCCAGCTTTGTGTCTTTTTTCATTCTAGCTAAAGGACTTATCTTGTTCCTTTTCCCCTCAATACAGATGTATTGTAATTGGTCCAGCCCAGAGTTGATCATGACCAATTGGCTAATCCACCACCTTTCATTGTTTATACCGTTTTTAAAAAAAACAAACAAACATAAAAATGAAAAATCACCATGGCCCACCAGGCAAATGCCCGGTATTCCCAATGGCCAGTCCAGCTCTGCGGTCAGCTGGAGGGTAACAGGCATTTCCGAAAACATTAGAGCACTTATGCAAATATGTGATGTCTTGATAAATCGAGCAGATATTTGGAGTTTACTCAGCACCATTCTCACATGAAAATATCTTAAAAGTTTATTTTGTGATCAGAAAGAGTAATATTTCAAACTCCGCCACTCTGTGTTCCTCCGCCACTGCCTTGTTTGAATTTTGGACAAAATAGATTCTGGGATATTGCATTTCGTCATTTCGAGCTGATTGGAGACCAAAACAGCCAATCAGAATTTTTGTGAGTCAAGTCTGTGATTGGCTGGTTTTGTGGCACAAATATAACGGTGTACAGAAAGAGTTGAACGCGCACGGGCAGAAATGTTGAGAGCGCAAGCAACACATTGCGAGCAAGCGCAAATGCAAAAACCGAGCGAGAGGGGCTGCCATTGTGTGTGTGTGTGTGTGTGTGTGTGTGTGTGTGTGTGTGTGTGTGTGTGTGTGGATAATAGCAAACACTGAAATAAATTTTTTGCACACAGCAATGAATTTTGTTCACTCAAATTGAGCTTTTCTTCGCTCAAAATAAATTTCTCCTCAAAATGCATCATCTACACTTGCAAATTTTTTTTACGTGCGCTCAGAATAGTGGCACAAAAATAACGCCATACTGTGCTGGTGTAGTTCTTCTTCCCACCAGCAAGAGTCACTACAGTTCTTTCATGCCAAGATTTGTTTGTTATTAGCTGTAGAGTCAGTAATGCAGCACACTTTGAGAAAAGACTGACTCAGCATGTTGTTCGGATAAACACCTGCATCCATCCTCTTCGTTGTTTTACAGAAAGCATCACTTGTGAGTATTTAAGTTGAACAAGAGTTAATGCAACTCTATTTGCTATTATTTATGCACTTTTATGGTTAAAGGTGTACTGTATTCAGATTTACTTTCTTTCCAATGTTAGCTAGTTTAGTCAACTGATTTGCATTATCGTGTGAATATATAGACTGAATATTGCTTATTTTCTTCTGTTTGTAGTTTCACTCTGTTGATAATTGAAGGCAGCGTCAATAAAAGGGACGATACACCTGTCAGTTGTCGAGGAGTTTATCTATCTGCATAACTGTATCCAGTGTAGCAGTGAGGGCAGAATACATACTATCCTTGCTACTCCCCTCTCTGCATACTTTAAATCTCAGTGCTTGTCTGTCATTCTGCCTTTATGATTCCTATTCATGCAACCCAGGTCCTCCTCATTTCTGCTTCACCCTGTTTACTCATAGATGGATCCAAGACTCCATCTGCATTTTCAACACCTTGAACGTGAATTTCTTTCAATAGATCTGTTCATATAGAAATAGTAGAATTTAGTATGAATATATGAACACACCGAGGCAATCAGTTGAATTTGTCTCGGTTTTTGACTACAGACTGGTTGCTGAAAACTGCAGTTGAGCTGCCCAATACTTATTTGCTTAACTCACCTGATCAGTGCAAAAGTACCAGATGCACTGAATAGTGAGTCCAAACACGAGACCAGGCCATGGGAGGTCTCCTGTAACTGGATCCCTGAAGAGATGGAAGGAGTCTGGCCGGGGCTCATAACAGTTTGCACTGATGTTACCCGTGATTGAGGGGATAGCTTGCATGTAGAGTTTCTCAAAGTTTTCATATCCCTTCACTTCATTAAAAGCTGAGGAAAATCATATGCAAGTTAGATCAACATTATTATTTATTTTTGTAACTTTCCAACAAATAATTTGTATGTAAAATATTTCATATTACCAAAGCCCATCAGAATGAATGATCCAATAAGCATGATAAAGGTCTGTAAAGTGTCCGTGTAGATCACTGCTGCCAGTCCACCTGGGATAAAATATATGATGTTATCAGTCTGTGAAAATCTTCACTTAATCACTTGAGATTTTATCAGCACTAATATACATAAAAAAGTCCTCTTCAATAAACTCATCATGTCATTATGTAACTACTCATTCTTTAAAACTTGTAATTGTGGATGTGTTGTTACAAAACAGCAACAGAAGGCCAATTCAGGCTTATCATAGTCCATGGCAATCAACCACAGCAACTCAGCAAAGATAAACCAACATTGAAGAAAGAGAGCAATTATGTGTGTGTGTGTGTGTGTGTGTGTGGCGTGTGTCTACATCTCCACATACGGCCTTGAGAGGACTTTACCCCAGTCATAATATAACTGTAGATATTGCTTCTTGGGTAGTTTATGAGGAAAATGTCTGTTTGTAAGTTCAGTAAAATAGGAAATTATTTTTTCCCTGTGTACAAACCTGTGACAGTGTACAGTGCCGTAATCGCCAGAAGTGCAATAACAGCGAGATAGATATTCAACCCAAAGGCCTGCTGGATGAAAATTGCACCCGAGAAAATGTCTGCCTGAATGGGGAGGAAAGAAAAGTGGGATTTCATTTAGGATCATCCAAAACAGGCACAATAGAAATATTCTCTGCTTTTCTTTCAGGAACTTACTGAAATTTTGGTGAAGACATACAAGACAAGGGAGAGAAGAGAGAGATAAATGCAAATGCGCTGTCCTCCGAACCTCTTCTTCAAGTACTCAGGCATGGTGATGATCTAAATACATCCACATGAGATTTTACTCATTAATCATTGCTTATTTAGAAAGGGTAAATATATGTGCCTCATGTATATATAAATATATATATGAGGGCTTTTGTTTACCCCAGCTCTAATGTAGATGGGCACAAAGATCCATCCCAGGATAACAATCGCAAAAAGAGCCTGAAACACACAGATATGCAATAATCAGGAACTCTGTTTCCTTTCATCCTTTTTTCTCTGCACAATGGAGCGCTCATAAAAATCAGTAAACCAGGAGCTGACATGAACTTATTCAGTATCAGAGGCGAGAAATTCTTCTATATAACAAGTGATAATTGATGAGTGGCTCAGGAACAGTTACTCACATTCCATTCAAATCCACCAATGGCTATTCCTGAAGCTGCGCCAGTACCAGCAATTCCTACAAAATGGACACTGCCAATATTGCTGGCAAACAGCGATGCTCCGATCTGTGGAGAGCACAGTTAAATCTGTCAGTAGGTCCATTTGTAAATTAAGGAGACTTAAGAATTCATTCAAGAATCAACTTGGTTATGCTTTTTATTAGTGGTGGGAATTTAACTTGTGAATTGCGATTAATTAATTTCAAAGTGGAATCAAAGGAGAACTTTTACCAATGCACAATTTCCTTGTGTACCAATTACACTGATGCACACAGTTACAAAAATGGAAGAATCAGAAGAAAGCACAAAAGGGACTTTGCATACCACCGAAGCACTTCAACCTTACGGTACCATCTAAATGCAAAACATGTTGCAGCGAGCACAGAAACCGTGGGAGCTGTTAGTGCTAGCAGTTCGACTACCAACAAAGGGTGTCAGCAGCCCAAATTTGATGAAATGACTGGTTTCGGGACCAAAATTAGTAAGTCAACATCGGACAAACGTACAAATTCTTTCGCAAAATGGATTGCTCTGGACTGTAGACCACTATCAGTGGCGTTAGAAATTGTGCTCCAGATTCAGATGAGGAAGCCCTGTGCAACAGGGCCCTGAGTTTGTACAGAGCAGAAAATCACCATCAGCGAGACAGACTGGTGGTCAGGTCGAGCAGGGATGAACCCAGTCCTGGCCTGCAAGTATTTGATTAGTGCTGCCACTTCTGTCCCATGTGAGAGAATGTTCTCACTTCCAAGTTACATTGTAACAAAAAAGAGAACTGCTTTGAGCTCTGAAAAAGTAAACAGGCTAGTTTTTTCCTAAGTAACTGGCTGATAGAGGTGGACAGTAAATAAGCATGGAGGTATTGTGAGTCCAGTGAGTTTGTTATTTTTTGCACTAAAATGTTCGATGACCACACTGTTTTAGCCTAATGTACAAAATAATGTTGGTTAAGGTTACTTAGAGTTTAAAGGTGAAGCTGGTCAAATAATCCTTATGTTTCTGCCTTATTTTTTTTAAGAATTAAAACTCCACTTTATGTTGAAATTGTTATTATTATTATTATTTAAAGACAATACCTTTTTGAAAAATGTACTTAAAGTACTTAAAATAACTCTACTTTTAAGTGTGTCCAGTTTTGGCCAAGGATATTATTATTTTTTCTGTTTTGCATTTAAATACAGTTTAAATCCTTTTTTCCCATAAATTAAAAGAGCTTCAGTTGACAATATTCATGTCAATGTCTAATATTTCTTCTGTCGTCCACTAAAACCCTTTAAAATTAAAAAACATTTGAACTTCTTGTGCGATTAAATGTGATTAATCAAGATTAATTAATTACGAAGCCTCTAATTAATTAGATAATTTTTTTTAATCGACTCCCACCCCTACTTTTTATGCTAGCCCATATTCTCAGTATATTGTGTAAATATTAAATGATTTAAACATTTGATTACTCAGAAGTAATTAAGATAGTTTGTTAATCTCAAATAACTCCATAAATCATATTTATATGGGACGTTACTGTTCTTAATCTCCATTCAAAACTAGACTAGTAACCAAACCCAATCATACATCACATTTATCGACCTCACATCCACGGTCAGTATAGAATCACTAATGAACCTAACATGCATTTTTTAGGTTTATGAGATGAAACCAGGTGCCTGGGAAAAGCCCCTGCATTCAACATGCTTTAGACCTCCAGGCATATTTTAACCACACATTCATACAGCACATTATCTATCTCACATCCATGGTCCATGTAGAAGGATCAGCTATCCTAAATTGCATGTCAAGATTTGAACCTGGGGACGTTTTCGCTGTGACATGACCATGATAACCACCACTGTGCCATAAAATGCTTCTTTTATGATAGCTTACATCACATTTTATTACACAGCAATAAAAAATTGTTAATGGCTCTAAATGCAGGAAGAATATTGTAAAGGATCTAATTCTAAATATAAAGATACTCACCGGCCACCATACCATACTCCTCCCTGCAAGGAAGAAGCCACCTACAGTGGATCTGTTAGTGTGGACCATAGACTGTAACAGGACAAAGGCACGTTTTTAGAAAATCCTTAAATATGGGCAAAACTGTAACAGACTACATTGAAGGAACAAAGACATCCAGACTAAAGAGGAGAAGAAAAACATGGCTTGTTAACAGCACTCAGTCACTCGACGGTATGAGGGTGACTTGCTTCCTATGCCGTTGCAGCTTGCACATCTGTAAAGGAACCTTTAATGCTGCAAGGTGTTGTATGTGCAGATTCTAGAGCAACATATGCTCCCATCCAGACGACATCTTTTTCAGTGAGAGCATTGTATTATCCAGCAAGACAATGCTCATTGCATCTATCACAACAGGATATCTTCATAGTAGAAAAGACTGATCTGCCCTGGCATTAATCCAGACCTTTCACCAACTCCAACCATTTAGGCAAAAATATGAGGAACACCCAAGAGTGTTGAGCAGCTAGAATCCTATATTATTAGACAAAAATGGGACAAAATTCCTCCATCCAATTCATAATTAGGATTTTTTTTAATGGTACATGTTTTTTTAGGTTAATTTGAAATTTCCACTAGAGATAAAATATGAATTTATGAGATTTTCAAATCATTGCATTTAGCTTTCATTTACGTTTTACACAGTGTCCTGACTTTTTTAGAATCAGGGGTGTAAGACACATTAGGACACATTAACATACAAACTATACTAAATCTTCTTAGCTGGAAACAGTTTATAAAATTATTGAGGAATTGCAGAGAAATTGGTTTTAAAAGTGATTGCAAAACTTACCCAAACTCCAACTGCCAAGACGACCAGGAAGTACACCACAATAACAGAGATATCTGCAGCATTATTAAGAGCCGTGGTGTTTTTTGCATCATTTTCTGCATTTCTGTTTATGTAAGAGAATTCAAAATAAGAATAATCTTGAGACATTTTAGCTGAGACAGACAACAGCAGTGTTGTTTGAGTCGGCTCTGTTTGAAGCGTTTACAGAAAGCGATTACCTTTATAACCTTTGGTGTGCATGTGAGAGGGAGATGAAAGCAGGAGGCGTAGATAGTGTAGATGTAAAAGAAGGGAAAACAAAGAGTGGGTTTGTCTAAGACATTAACACATACTCCAGTTGGCTGAAGGTGGATGCACATATGAACGTTGCTGATTCAAGAATGTTGACCTGAAAAATGTGTTAAAATGTGTAACTGTTTACCAAATAATATTGTTAATTATTAACCCTACAAGGGTGTTACGCCCCAGTCTAGGGGTACAGGAACGCAACACAAGTTTGAAAAGATTGCCCCGCCCTGGTCCCCAAAACCATACACAGAGGGAAACCAATTTCTTAGTGAATCATGATTTATTATCTACACTGCAAAAATGAAGCTCTGGGGTGAACAAAGGCCAAAATAACGAACAAAACAAGCTAAGTCAGGAGGAGGTGCTATCTAAAACCCTATGTGAAATCAAACATCAAACAAAAGACAAGCGCTACACCTAACTCCCTAACTTGAAATAAACAGGAGAAAACAGTGCAAGGACAAACAATAAGGCAGCTCACCCCTTCTGTTGCAGTGCTATTTACAATGTGCTATTTACAATGAAAACTAGTGTACACACTATATACAAAACTCAGAAAAGCCACCAAAGTCACAGGCACAAAAGTCTCAGGTTTTTGGAGGCCAGGGTCAGGTCTGCTGCTGCTGTCAGTGGCTGCCCCAGGACAACTGCTGGTGAGGGATTTGAAGAAGATCACATGGCCAGGGGACCAATCAGCAGCCGTCAGCTCATCCACTCTGGGACCTGCAAAGACTTAAAGGCACAGACAACAACAGCCACCAAAACAGATTATGGACAGGGCCATAACAAAGGGAATACCTCAAGTAAATACACCAGGGTTTGTAAAAACAAAACTCTACAGGTAATATTTGCATTGCAATGACTTATAGCTAAAATTTAATTCAGTCCAATTGATCCAGTCTAATCTGTTTGGATTTTGACACCTATGCCCATCAGTAAAATAAGCATTGCTATTAAACACATTCACTGATAACTTGTCACACTCATAATTTGCACATCAAGGACAATGTTTGATTATGGATTTAAATTAGTTTCAGTTAGTTATGATATGATCCACAAGCCTAAACTAAGATTTATAAATCTGTACAATGATTTGTGTTTAACTATTGAGCACTCATAAATACATGCTCCAACTCGCACACAAATATGAACCCATGTGAAATTATTTTACAAGTGCAGATAGGAAAACCTGAACAGAGTTGGAGTTCAGCTTCATAAATCTCATTCATTTCGCTTTAAGAAAGCTGTTTTCTGTTTACTGTTTGCTTAGAGATCATTACATGTGTACGCAAAAATCACCTGATACCAATACTACTGATACTGTGCTACTGTTACATGCTGGACATTTTTCTGCTGCGAAAAATAGTCAGTGTGCAGCTGTAAACGGGAGAACGTCGTAGCCATAAAGTTCTGTTGCACAGCATCTCAAGCGAGCATATGCTAAATAATCTCTTATATTTTTTAAGCATAGATATAATCCAGGCCACCTTTAAAAACATTTGACAAAGAGCTTTTTGTTCTCAAAAGCTCAGTGTCACCGTTGCAATAAATGAAGCTTAAGCTTAAGTTCAATTAGGAAAGATCCGTTATCACTCATTTGTATTCCCGTGTGTTCAGTTGCAGTTGTATTCTTTACATCACTTCCTCTTTCTCACACTGCCAAACTCAATGCTTGTTCCTCTAGTCCATGAATATAAACAGTTATTCTGTTCTGCTGTGTTGGGTCATTGGAGTCCAATTGCCAAATCAAATGGCTTATTAATTGAAATTTTTTATCTCCATAAATCATGTTCAGTTGGTCTATATGATCTCTGCTTATTAAACTAATGTCTTATTTATTTTGAATGTTGATATCATTCAGATAATGTGGGATTGTGGAGGTATGTAATAATGACAGGAGAGGTCTCAGTGTCTCACTCCAACTTTATTAACTGACTCTCAGAACTTCACATATAGTGAGCGCCAAAATCTCCACCCCAACACTTCCCTTCAACTTGGGTGTGAGTGGAGCCACCTGGTGGTCCGCCACACATACCCCCCCCCCCAACACACAGTTAGGTCTCTATTCAGTCCAGGACCCTGGGTCTAAGCAAACGACCCGAACGACTGAACCTGGGAGGGAGAGAACAGGCAGAGGAAGGTCCATCCTGTGAATATGAAACCTTGGATAACTAAGGGTCTTGCAAATGCGTGTAAAAAGAAAAATAATTTATATAGGGAGTATATAATATATAGAACTAAAAATGCGGAAATGAAATATAAACTATATAAAAATAAGTTGGTATTAATATTGAGGAAAGCTAAGAAAGATTACTATAATAAAGTTTTCCAGGAAAACAAAAATAATATTAAGGGCATTTGGAATATTTTTAAAGAGGTATTGGGTAATAAGAACACACCCATAGTTCGGCCTAATTATTTTATTAATAATAATCAAGTTGTTAAAGATAAGACCGAAGTAGCAAACGAATTCAATTCTTTTTTTGTAAATGTTGGACCTACTTTAGCAAATCTAATCAGGAAAAATGATGATCCAGGAGATGAGGAAGCCTGGATAGGTGATAATAGAATGGTTAATTCCATATTCTTAGCCGATACTACCATAAAAGAAATAGTAGCAATCGTAAAAAATTGTAAAAATAAAAAATCTACTGATTGTGAAGGTATAGACATGGTCATAATTAAAAAGACAATAGATTGTATAAGTACTCCTCTTTGTTATATTTTTAATCTTTCGCTACAGTCAGGAGTATTCCCTGACAGAATGAAAGTGGCAAAAGTAATACCATTATATAAATCAGGAGATAAGCATAGTTTTAACAATTATAGGCCAGTGTCTCTTTTATCACAGTTTTCAAAATTGCTAGAAAAACTCTTTGCACAAAGACTTGATAGTTTTATTGAAAAATATCAACTAATACATGAAAACCAATTTGGATTTCGTAAAAATAGGTCAACGGCATTAGCGTTGTTGACTTTTATTGAAGATATTTCATCTGCAACACATAATAATAAATACACAGTGGGAGTATTTGTTGATTTAAAAAAAGCTTTTGATACGATACAACATTCTATTTTGATTTCTAAATTGTATAACCATGGAGTGAGAGGAGTAGCATTGAATTGGTTAATGAGTTATTTAGAGAATAGGTTGCAATATGTTTATTATTTTGGCAATACTTCTGAAAGACTGAAGATTGTATGTGGTGTTCCTCAAGGTTCTATTTTGGGACCTAAACTCTTTAATTTATATATTAATGATATTTGTGACGTATCTAAAAGGTTAAATTCGATTTTATTTGCAGATGACACAAATTTTTATTGTTCTGGAGAGAATTTGAAAGACTTGGTTGAAATTATGACTTCTGAGATGTTAAGAATAAAAAAATGGTTTGATGTAAATAAATTATCTTTGAATCTGACAAAAACGAAATATATGATATTTGGCAATCGTGTAAAGGAGGATAAAGTCATTATGTTTATAGAGGAAGAATTGATTGAAAGAGTTACTGAATTTCGTTTTTTGGGTGTAATAGTGGATGAGAATTTGACATGGAAATCTCATATTGAACATATTAGAAAGAAAATGGTCAAAAGTATTTATATTTTGGGTAGTATAAGAGATTTATTAAATTATAAAACAATGCGTATTTTATATTTTTCTTTGTTTTTTTCATATATCAACTATTGTGTTGAAGTTTGGGGGAATACATATGAGAATACCATAAAACCTTTAAACCTATTACAGAAGAAAGTTATACGAATAATTCATAATGTTAAATATAGAGAACATACAAACAAATTATTTATAGAATCAAAATTATTAAAATTAGGAGATTTAGTGAAATTACGGACATTATTAATTATGTTTAAGGCTAAAAATAATATTTTGCCTTTTAAGTTACAAAGAGTATTTTTGATGTGTTCAAGGGGAGAAGAGAATAGAAGGAAATTTTATTTTAAACATCAGTTAGCCAGGACTACACAAAGATTAATGAGCACAACGGTTAGGGGTATAAGACTGTGGAATTCACTTCATTATAATTTAAAGAATTGTATAAATTTACAATGTTTTAAAAAGTGTTATATGTTTAAAACGATAACTCAGTATGAAGAATGCGAATGAATGTGATGTTGGTTTGGGATTCGACCGGAGAGAAATGTCAATATTAGTTTGTTCCTGATTTTTGGTGCCCATCGGTGATATAAGTTCGATGGTAGATAGGGGGCAGGGTTTAATAAGAATATTTCTTCTTCCTGCTCCTTTTCACACATGGTTGTTGTGTTTTGTTGACAGAAGATGTGGTTGTTTTGTTTGATTTGTAGTACCAAGTGTGAAATAAATAAAAATGAAATGAAATGAAATGAAATGAACGAGGCTGGTGAAGGCGAGCAGGAAAGGCAGGAGGAGGCTCAAACGCCGGTGGTCCGGGGGTAGTCCTGGGGGGAAAACCAGAGTCTGTCAACCCCATCGAAGGAGGGCGGCCACGGCGAGGGGCCTGGGCCGGCACTACATTACTGTCCGGAAGAACATGTGCCGGTTTAAGTCTGTCAACACACACAGTCTCCCTTCGACCCCCAAAATCCAAAACAAAATGTTTCTGGCCCGGTTCAATAACCCTGAATGGGCCGCCATACAGTGGCCGCAGCGGTGTCCTGTGGGCATCGTGCCTGACGAAAACAAACTTAGCAGTCTCTAAAGTCTTTGGAACAGGAACCCGAAGCGAGTGCAAAAGAGGGTAGAGAGATAGCACCGATGGATCGAAGGATTTTCGG